TACAATTCTTAATTTACTGGCCTTATACTCTTTCGACCGCACACATCGTGCAGCAACACTTTGTGTTGCATTCTCATCTGACTTGATGAGATCTTGTTGGTAATGACGTGTAGCGCACTTGGTGTGCGATCGAGATGCTATTATGTTCTTCTTACTGGTAAAACACGTAGTATAGGTAAGTAAATAAAAATATTTGGAAAAAAATATTATAAGTTTTATCGTGATGTAACGTCACACAAACTACCGATCAATAGATCACACTTCGTCAACCTGAGGTATTATATACCATGATAGTTAAGGATTTGATAATGTTTGGCATTTGTACGTATAGCAAATGTAATGAAACACAAATATAATTAACGTTCACCATTATTCAAACATAATTAGATGTATGACTACGAATTCGAACCCAAAAATATGATTTTGTCTTTAAGTTTTTAAACATTTTGTCAAAGTCAAAATATGAAAAATTTTAACCAAATAAGGAATAAAGAACGAAACTCATGTATAACGAATAACTAACCTTCTAAATAGTTTACATGCTGCTCTCAATCTAAAGCCACCTAGTGGCTCAGCGATAAATGTGTGGGCTTCTCATGCTAAAAATCGAGTTTCGATACCCGTGGTGGGCAGAGTACAGATATTCTATTGTATTGCTTTGTACTACAACAAACAGACAAACTCAACTTAACAAATCGAACTTTGGGCCTTTTTATCTAATTCATTCAGAGATTAGAGTTTTGTAACTTCGTAGAACCATATTTCTACAGCACGAAGGTATAAAGGAAAATGAGTGTAAATTCAGTCAATTTTCAAAATATGAAACTGTCTACAAAGTGTAATTTATATTGCATGACAGTATCTTCATATGTATAAAAGTTATTATTACTTGGTGTATAATCAATGTATGGCAATACATTTGCTAATTCCATGTACTCACAGCTGTAGAATCCGGGTTTCGATACCCGTGGTGGGCAGAGCACAGATAGCCCATTGTGTAGCTTTGTGCTTAATTTAACAAACAACAACTCACAGCTGTTCATCTAAAGCCAATTGTAAAGATTAGGTGATTTGTGGTGATTCTTGCTGCTTTACTTAAACTTCGAGTGACTGTAAAGTGTTTGTTACTATTCAGAGATGAACAATTATTTTAGTACAAGTTTCAGCTTTTACAGTCAGGAAGATTATTTTTTAGAAAAGGTACGACATTTCGATCACTGGTGTACCAGTGATCGAAATGTCGTACCTGTTATAAAAATAATCTTCCTTACTGCAACTTGTAATAAAATAATAATTAATCAGTAAGTAAACTCAAAACGAAACTATTAATGATGAACAATAATTAATGCATCGTATAAACAGTTATTCTTGTATAATTTATCAAAGAAACAAATGTACAGTTGGTTAATCATCGTTGTTATTTGTATTTTAATAGTATTCATTGTGCTTATTTATTGATCTCTCTAGTTTCACTAAGATAAGTCTTATTAAATGCACTAATTCTTCTCCGAAACAACATACTCCAGAAAGCTCACTAAATAACAGCCTTAGGATGAGGAAGAAATATGTTTACCGATCTTGCAACATTCTCAAGAATAAGTTATTCACGGATGGAATTATGGTTGAATAACTTCACATAAACACGAATTTTATCTTTTGTTGAACAATAATTAAAATAAAATAGACTTCGTTTGAAGTTGAAAGATTCTGACCCTTATGTAATAATAATGGACTTAAATATCGTTAAAATTATTACAAAAACACATTTATTCTAGCCCCCAGTAGCACAGCGGTATGTCTGCGGATTTACAACGCTAGAATCCGGGTTTCGATACCCGTGGTGGGCAGAGCACAGATAGCCCATTGTGTAGTTTTGTGCTTAATTACAAACAAACATTTATTCTATTCTTCCATTCTATTAGAATGGTATAAATACAAATTATGAATCTAAGTGCTAATGCATAGCTTTGTTAACAACAACACGCGGAAAGCTTATCGCAATCACTATGGTTACAATAGTTAGAGATGCGAACTTTGCTCGATTTGAAGTTATAGATAATTCGGTTATTTTTTATTATCAGAACATGTACATGAAAAGCGGGAAGAATTTCACGAGGTTTGATAAGTTGAGCAAGAAGAACAACCGTCATCATCCGGGCATTATATCAAAGTCTTTTTTACCTCCATTTCGACAGTCGGGTGTGTCGAAGACTACTATAAAGCACATCAAAATGGCGGCGGTTAGGTGGTTTCTAATAATTGTTCTTTTTCAGTTAGTTTGTTCTGAAAGTGCACTAAAAGCTCCAAGAAGACCTCAAGGTAACTTTGGTTTCCGTGTTTCTATAAAGTTAAGGAAACAAAATATATATACATATTGTGCTAAATATACTTACATCAAATGCTTTATAATTGTAAGATCTCTTAAATATGTATTGAACTGTGTTTAAAATAAGATTATTATTGCGAAGAGTAATTACAACTTCCAGTAAAATCCTGTCATTAATTTCAACCATAAAAAGTGTTTTCAGTAAAAATATTCGGTAATGAAAAAAGACTAGTCCTAATGATTACAAATGTGATATTATACATTGTCAATCTAACGAGGAACGTCTTGAAGCTTGTTTTTGAGCTTAAAAAGTTCTGATCCTAAACTAAAAAGCTGAAGTTGTATCATATCATTTTAGCTTAGCTATTGTGTCTTCGAAATTCGTTAAGTATAAAATAAAACGAGAAACAAATACTATATGAAAAATATCAAGCTGAAACAGACGCTCTGTGATATATAGGTGTCAATATTTAAGTGTAGCTTTTTAATATACCCTTATAGTTAGTTTTTCTAAGTACATACTGTTGTAATTATCCTTATTTAAAATGCCCCTCAGTGGCACAGTGGTATGGGTATCGATATCCATGGTGGGCAGAGCACAGATAGCCCATTGTGTAGCTTTGTTCTTAATTACAAACAATCAAATCTTATTTAAATAAATACTATTCACTTTGTCAAAAATATAGAGAAATATATAAAAATGAACATTTTACTCTTACGTTTACTAATTTTGTAAGAACATTTATTAAAAAACAACAACAGGTGTTGAGTTAAAGCAGTTCTTTGTTCTAGTGCAAGGATTTAGCTACAAGTGATATACGATGCTGCCCTCAAAGTGCACAGAAATTTAGATTATATCCAGCTATTTTATATTAATAATAATCTAGTTCATCCTGCTTAATAGAAAGCGACATATTTATGTCTTTGTAAGGGCTTGATTTTTTTACACATCTTCTATTCATGATGATTTATTTTCTTTCGAAAAATTTCTGTTTTTGATCTTACTATTTTACAACAAAAACAAATCTGTACCCATTTAAATGTCATAATTTTTTCATTCAAAAAATATAAATTAAACTCACAGCAGAAAAAAAAGCCTAAATTAACATTTCATCAGTTCAGAGATTGAGGAGTGTATTTACACCATATAAGTTCAATCCGGAAACTTCCAAAGAGGATGGTTTTGGATGTATCTTTTCGAGACAAGTTTTTGTTTGTTAATTGATAAATTTTTTAAAGTGAAATATAGCATCCTCAAATCTCCATACTAGCTAGTACCCGCTGGGAGTATATTCAGTATATATCAATAAAGCACATTCTCAGCATCATTAATTATGCAATTGCCAACCTTTTATGCTTCTGCTACCACCTTATTTAGCTTTCAATTGAGATAGTCAGCAGTAGGACAAGCAGACAGGAATACTTTGAAAGCAGCTACAGGCATAATATAGTTCTCGGCTTTCCACACAATATCTACCAAGGTGGTACCAAACAGTTCCTTAATACCTCTGCGTGTCAACTGGAGACAGCCATGTTTCTTGTGCTTAGCCGTTAAGCTCGTGATGCGCTGACGGATTTCAGTCACCTTACCACTTCAAATCATTTTTCACAGCCCCAACGCTAAAAGAGTGCAGGAAATGCCTTTTTTTAGCCAATAAAAATGCCCAGAAAATTTCAGTTCAAATCAAGAAAAATCGGATTGGGTAGTTTTTTTTCTCAACAAAACTTTCCCCCACTGGTTCGTGAGGGGCCTGTTAAAATATTCTCTTTGGTATTTTTTTATACGTCAATATTAATTAACATTTAAATAAAATGAAAATAGAATAAATAATTTCTAAAGAGAAGTCAAATTCACGTGGTGGTTATAATCTAGACTTGCCAAGATGCATGTATGACCGGACGTGGCGACGTGGACTGTGAGGACGTGGTGAAGCTCCAAAATCGTTTAATATAACGTACTCAACCTTTGTAATCTAAGTAATTTTAAATATCTCCAATCAAATTAATTAAAGAAAGTAGGCAACGAACGAGCAGACTGAATTAAAATAAACAGGTGGGAAAATATAATGAAGAAAGCCTGAATATTTTGCCAGTTACTTGTTAGTAATCTAAAAATATGATGGAGCCTAAAATGGAGTAATGTCTTTCGCTAGTTCTAAATGCGATAACAATATGAAGATGAAAATCTACACCATTAAACCTTCCTCACTTGTAATTGAGCTGCTAATAAACCTTTTTTGTTTTTTGTTTCTTTTTCAAGCCGCAGAAAGACCAAAGTTTTATGTACCAGTGAACCCAGCTGAACTTGAGATACTCCGCAAGCAACTCATGTACCCATATGATAGACATGACTTTGTAGATATTACAGCTGGAAAATCCTACATAGATATAGGTTTAAAGTTCCGTCTTCCTTATTTTGGGTTTGCATATCATTACATAATGGTAAGTAAAACATTTTCAACTAAATCCCCTAGAAACGCATTTTAATAGTAGGTTTTTGATAAATGCACATTTGAGAAAATCGAAAACAACAACTTTGATAAATATATGATTATTTATATTGTTCCCATTTTTAAGGTTTACTGTTCTCTTGTTTATATCTAGTAATTTGTTCCAATGACATGTGAAGCGTTGACTTTATTTTACAGATCTTAATTCGAATTTGTATAACTTATAATTACTCGTTTAGTTTATTTTGAGCCTTAAATTTGACAATTTATGTTATGTAAATACTTTTCATGGAATTCTGATTTTTATATGTGTAATCCAACCGTTGTTTGGACACTTTGGTATACTTACATTTATAAATTTTAATATCTTTTGTGGCCACACTACTTGCATTTTTCTAACTGTTATACGTTGGGAAGATGACACACTGGACTTTGTGTGAAGCTTTGTCCTTCATTATTCACCAGCCACACACGCCGAGTTTTCCTACCGGTGACGTTAGGTAATGTTTTCATAAAAGTACTAATGTCCGATGTGAATCCACTGAAGTTGAATGATTTGTAATGTTTGAACTTTGTAAATGCTCCTGCCCAAATATCTGATGTTTTCCGATTAATAAGCGTTATAACAATCACAGTTATAGCTTCCGAAGTTTATAGCACACTGACTACAGCAAACTAATAATAGATACTGTTTTTGGCGCGTCGCGTTGGCTATATTTATAGGCGTGTGGAGGCTTTCTAGAAAATTCAGATTACGTAAAAATACAAAGCTACATTTAAGCGTTTACGTACATACATATATTGTTGATTCTTACTCTCGAGAATCTTCTACGACTTTGGAGAATAGGCGGAAGTTTTGCAATACATATTTAACAGTATAAGTGATGTATGTTTATAAATATAAATATAATCTAAACAAGCGCTGATATTAAAATAAATATATAATAATAAATCCGTCAAAGTCTTTATTAACTTTTCTATTAAATATATCATATTTCTGAACGAACTGCATTTTACCTTATACTTTAGAAAATATATATTTCTTGTAAGTATGGTGAATTTTTCACCATAGCTACAGCTATCCACTTATACATTTTGTAGTAGGTATTATATTTATTCCGAAGAAGACTAAAAAAAAAAATCATTGAATTTCTTGTATTTTTCCATAAACGTTCACTTCAGCATCGAAACCATGTATTGATTGGGGTTCTTACTGAACTATTTTGCGTGAACTCCAAGAACAAACAAACTTATCGAGGCAAAATTGGATTTAATTTTGAAATATTTTTTTTTATTATTTATTACTTTGCTTAATATGGCTGTAGCATTCTAGCTAAGTAGATAGATGTAATTAAGTACTTTTATGCGTTTACTAGATCTTGGTATTTCAAAACAGCCGAACTAATTTCTTATCATTCTCCAATTGAGTTTTCTCAAGACTTACATAATTGGCCAGTTTAAGTGTGATAAAGAAATACAAAAAAGTGTTTGAGAAGTAATATTGTCCACAAATTCTCAAGAAAAAAGAAAGAGTCTCTAAATTATTTCTTAAAAACGCATCATCTTTATCTTTGTTGTAATACTATTGGGTTTTCAACAAACCCCAAGAGATGATGCTTTATTTTCTTGTTTTTCCCTGAAAACAAAAATATCAAAAACGTTTTCAAAGTCACTTAATCATTATATATATATATATATATATATATAT